CATTATGTTTCATTCATTCATTCCATTCGCACCCCTCTACGCCCTTCCCCCCAGCAGTGACAGTGTTCTTTAGTTTTACTAATTAAATAATATAAAGACTAAAAAGTAATAAAGACCAAAAGATGTTTTATTTTGAAAATGTGATGATCCTTCAACGTTGGCGTAGTATTACCGACCAGACCTTGGTGCAAAAAAAGGTTGGGGACTGCTAGCCTAACTACTGACTAAGGAGGATATGGTGCACACACCGCATTCAGAATCACACTGTCAACTTCAAACTCTACTCAAACCCAATTTGCCACAAAGTGCAGCTCAGCACTTCATGCTGTCTGTGATCTTGAATAAAAAAATAATCGCTCTTCAGAAACTAAGCTAATGTTGAGACAAAGGGAATTAGATCATTTGGTAGTCTACAATCTACAAGATCTGGCTAAAAGTTCCCATTCATATTTGGTATTGGCATGTCTATTTTTGATTGATTTGAAGTTAGTGCCATACACTACACATATTAATCTGTAGCTCCCTGTTCCGATTTAGTGAGTGGCAAAGATTTTACTTTTGTAAATGTTAATAAATGCATAAATGTTAGTAATGGCACAGAAAAGTTTAAATAACAACAAAACATCTGATTTAAATTAGTTATTTCAAATCTATGGGTCAAATGTTTAAAAACAGCTGTGAGAAATGGGGTCCCCTTTAAATAAGCCTAAATTTATTCAATTTCAAGATGAAATTCGAACAATTTTTAAATGCTATACAAGTAATATTTGCAAATAGGCAATGCAACTGGACTTTAATCTATCAGATAAAGTATTGCTTAAGATGAGTTAGGTAGTTTATTTTGATTTGTTGTTCTCTGTTGGTGTAAACCAGAGGTTCCCAATGTGGAGGGCACGGTGTCATTGCAAGGACGGGAGGTGCAGATGGAATGAATGAATGAAACGTAATGCATAGTGATGTGTCGTTCGCGAGTGATTCGTTCAAAATGAACGAACTTTCATATGACTCGAGTCACATGAAAGATTCGTGACTCCCGAGTCATATGAAATATTTGTTCATATTGAACTCACAAATCACTCACAAATCACTCACTGCTAACTAATCACACTCTGCGAACTAATCTTTCACTGTAAACTAATCTTTCACTACGAATAAATTACTCTCTGCAAATTAATCTCTGGTTGTGAACAAATCTTTCATTACGAACTAATATTTCACTGTCAACTAATCTTTCACTAC